GGCGGAAGGGGGGAGGGGAGGTCGCGCGCGCTGACCGGGTCGAAGTGGAAAAAAATGTTTTCGATGCCGAAACGAAACCGGAGAACGTGAAAAATGCAGAGCGTCGCGCGTGTATCAACGGCCGTCCAATAAATTTCCTCCTCCTCCTCCTCCCCCCCCCCTCTCCCCTGCCACCCTCCCGAAGTTCGTCGAACCCTGTATTTTGTTCAAATTTCATGAGGAGAGCTTCCGCGCCCAGAAAATTTAACGATTCCAGTCTCGAGGCGCGAGCACTCGCAATCGGCCTCGCTGTGCCGAATGTAAAATATATCGCTGGTGGAAGCTCGCAGTGGCCCGTGATTTTTTCTCGCGGGCGACGCGTCAATCCCTGATTGTTCCGAACGCGAAATATAGATCGCGTTTTAAATTTCCATTTGGCCGCTCGTTGCGTTCACGCCGCTTCGTCGAAGATGACACAATCGACCGTTTTTTCCGCAGGCAAAATCAGCGAGATCGGGTACCTTCTAAATAATCACCAACTGCGCTCCAATTTGTCTACCGTTTGACTTAAATAAGCCGAAACCACCTTTCCACATGTCTCACCCGCGAATCCAATTCCACGCGATTTATCCGGCATTCTGCAATTCAAGCCATCGAGATTCAAATTCAACGAGTCAATGCTGAGCCACGAGATCGAGATCCCGCAGCCACCTTTGGAGCGTGTAACGCGAGAGCAGCGTTAAGCTCTCGCTGTGAATTAACCCAGGTCGAACCTCTGTCTCTCTCTCTCTCTCTCTCGGAGGAGGAGGAGGAGACGGAGGACGACAGCAGCGCGAAAAGATCCACTTAGCGTTCACTTTGGCCGACATTAAATTCTAATGAACCGGACGCCGGTCAATTTCAGTTAGCCGTCTTCCGGTAGATCGTGATATTCCGATCCGACTACGGTGGCGACCGTCCGCCGTAATGGCGCCGGATACATGCCGACGACCGGCTGCGGTCGCCCTTTCGCAAATGTCTAATAATTTTCGTTTAAACGCGGCGCAAGCCCCGGCTCTTATGCGCAGCTGCTCTCCTGCGACGAAAGCCAAGCGCATTAGCCCGCTAATAGACGAAATGGCGATCGTAGCCGATGTATAAAGAGAGAGAGAGAGAGAGAGAGAGATTGAGAGAGGGTTGAAGAGGAAAGGAGAAGGAGCTAGATTTTCAAGGATCGTTCGTTACAGTTGATATTAAGGTGGGATTTTCTACAAGCATCAGATGCACATTTACATCGATAAAATGGATAGAAGTATTATCCCTGTTTTGTCCTTATGGGATATTCGAACGCTCCGTATTGTAAATTCGATTGAAATTGAGTTTAAATTAAACGGCAATGTGTTTATTTCGGAACGAATATCGCGAAACATACTTTTCAAGTGACGCGGCCCGTGAAGGAAAGAACGAACGCTGAGGTAGAACAAATACGACTTCGGATTGAGAATCATGGATTTAGGCAGCGTAGGTGGGGAACGAGCAAAGAAACAAATCTCCTTTACCTGAAAGGAAACGCAAATGGCCGCATAAAATGCGGCAGACTCGTAACCCCGTAGCCACGGCTGCGTGCGTTTTCGTTCCCGTGATTCATGCGTCCCGTGTTGGGGGGTTGGCGTGTGACCGCGCTATGGGGTTACGGGCGTACTCCGTAATGGTCTTCGGTAAAGTGAAAAAAGGAGGGAAGGTTGATGAGCCTGGCAAAAATTCCAGCGGCAACAGAGATTCCTGGAAATGAAACGACAAAGCGTAGAAACTGGACTTTGATTCTCGTTTTATTAGCCGAAAATGTTCTCTCTTGTCTGTGATTTCTGTTTAGGATTAACTATAAATCATGCATAATGTGTGTACATTTGTAGCGACCTCTACTTTGAAGTATTTAGATCAATGATATCTTTTGTTCATTAAATCATTCCGTCGAGATGTGTATTTAATACAAACAATAGAATATTTAAAAATTGTTAGTAATTTTATTATCACCATGGAAATGTTTACTGACACTTATATATATTGTAACCATAGTAGAAATTATTCATTCGTTATTTAACTTTTATTATTTAATCTTCATTAAATTATTAATAATTACATATTTTGTTATATTGATAATATTTTTATATAAACAACTAAAATTAATTACGGAGTTATTATTTATTTGTAGTATTGTGATATAAATTTAAATTATCATATTCACTGCACATTTGGATGGGTGCGCGACATCTGTTGTATTATTGTTGAGCTGCTTACCTCGTGTGTGTCTGGGTGTCTGGAAAAACAGTTGAAATCGAAAGTTGTATCGTGTAGATCTCAGAGGAAAGTGATTGCTCTAACTACTAGCTGTAAAAATCTTAAAAAACTGAATATCTATGTTTCATGAAATAAAACTATATCGGATAATCATCGATTACCTAATATCAAATCACCACAATTTCCACTAATCTAACATCGTCTTTCGCTTTTGACATCACCTCGTTCTCATTAATTTTCCATTCTGCTATTTTCTTCTCCCCTTTTAGAAAGGTTCGTGAATCACACGCCGCTAAACGACCTTGCACCTCCTAGCTCGTTCGCCATTGACGTTAAACAAAACCCGCGTAATCGATCCCGAATCGATGGATTAAGAATCCAATTGGAACTGTCCGACCTGCTTCTATTTCACCCTCCTTCCCCCGTCCCCTTGTTCCCCTAGCTACGCCCTGTGAAATCCCTCGAAATCCTCGTCCCTCCTCCTTTCTTTACCTGATCGTCTTCCTATCACACTCGCGATTCTAAAACGTTCGTCTACATTCTACACGTACGTTTTTTTTTTTTTTTTTTTTTTTTTTTTCTGAAATCCAAAGTTTCCAGAGGCGGTTTCAACGGCGGTGGCGGCGATGGCAATAAAGTTTGCTTTATTTTTACTACCCCTCTGGCCAAGTACCACCCCGTATTTCCTCGGGATATTGACATATCGGGGCTGGCTGGGCTTCGCCTCTTAACGCCCTTTTTACACTGCCACGGAATTTATGTCTTCTTCCTCCATGTCCAACCACCCAATTCTACGCTTCTTCTCCTATCTTTGCCCCGGCCTACGTCACTCCGCATTCCGTCCCTTTTCCTCCTTTGTCGTCGATTTACTTACAGTTAGAGGCATCCGCCTGTCTTCGTTCGATCCTCGTGTTGTTCGAGTGTGGCCCTTTCTAGTTTTCTCCATCGGTCCTCCTCCTCCTCCTCCTCCTCGTCCTCCTCCTCTTCGTCGATTCCGACGAAAGGGGAGGAAGACAATCAATCACTCGCACGTATTCCCGCGTTTGCAGAATCAGCCCGGAAATCTCTATTAGACGTCGAATAGACCGGGGCTTTTCTACTTGGCTACTCACGATCGATGGATCGGTCGTCCACGATGGGAACGAGATTGCTTGTCGTTTCCGGTGAACGGAGCGTATGGATCCCGTTGATGAGATACGGTCGATGTTTAACGCGTTGTTGATGGAATTTGAAAAGTTTTACGAGACGTTGGCATCTGGTGATGAAACGGGTTGAATCGAGCGGCCGAATTTTACGTGCAAATTTGTGAAAATATTAACAGTAATAAACAGTGGACCTACTACGGGTTTTTTTTCGAAATAACGAGAGACTTCGTATTCGGTAGGATTTCTATCCAACTGATTACTATATTCTGTTCAAGTGATACTATATTGTTTTCCTTATCCACTCGTTTATTACAAAAGCTGATTTGCAAAAGCATTATTTCTGCTTACCTCGATCTCGCCTGCTTCAGTAATTGCGATCGAATTGTTTGGCGATTTTCATCCGTCTCATCATGTGAAGAAATATCCATCGAATTAATATCGCATAGCAACTTTATGATTCATAGCGACGGAGTGTTTTGTGTCAAATTTCACTGTTATTATTCTTTTCGGAATGATTTCATTATTCTGTTTAGCTGTTAAATAAAAGTAAAAGAATCTGTGGCAGTAAGCGAGCTAAAATTTTCAACGTCGGTCGTCGAAAAATTCCCATTTCATTATTAAACGGTAATCACCGTAGATCATTACACAAATGCACAATCATTAGCAGTAACTCTTTCTGCTCGATTTTGTATTCGCAACGAAACTCACACCGGCCAATGATCTTGATGGAATGACAGTTTATTAATTGTCGCGAGGCCGAGGTACGGCTGTGAAAATTGCAACAAAAGAACAAAGAGAGAGAGAGAGAGAGAGAAGGAAGCAAACGTGTTCGAACCAGCAAAAACAATGAGCAATCGCTCGTCCAGGGGCTTATATTCTTCCTGGTGTTCCATTTTTCGCCGGCTTTGTATTTATCGGCGTCCTGGGACGCGACAGCGTAAGAGTGACTCAAAATAAAAAGAAAAAAAAAAAAAAGAAAAAAAGAGAAAAACGAAGGAAAATCCAAGCGCAAAGGCGGTCGTCGTGTGATTGGTGGAAAAAAGGGCTGGTGGACAGGGACGTTCGCGGGAAAAAAACGTAATACCACGATCGGAATGTTGGGCGGAAAACGGATCGAACGAGCGAGACAAAGGGAACCCTCGACAAAATCGTTTGAACTGCAATTGCAATAGGAAGAAAGGATGGGAAGGAAGAACGCAGGAAACGCCACGTGTCCCGTTACTTAGCGAAAGGAATTACATTTTCTAGGCGGTCCGACGATTGTCCTGGGTTGCCTCGGTACACCGGAAGCCGCGGTAAAATAAATAGATTCAAGCTTGTCATCGAACGCCACAGGTGTATTAACGCGAGCTCGGCTTTGACGCAACGATTTTAACTCCCGTTTGTTCGACTGTCGTGAATATTATATTCGCGATTGTGCCGATAACCGGATTAATTGGCCTCGGTTACAGTGAAATATTTTACGATTTGTAACAGTTTCGTTTCGCCAACAGTTTATCGGCGAAGTGGCAAACGTGGCGTATCGACACTTTCTGTCCGTGTAATTCCACTAGCGATTCAGTTCTCCATTTGTAGCAAATGAAATTAATTAATAAAGAGATGGGCAAACGAAATTTCAGGATTTCTTAATAAATCGTTGACAAGTCTCTTGAAAATAACGTTAATTACAATTCGACTTGACGATTTTTTTTCCGTGTTCTCAAACAGCCAGTTTTCACAATGCGGCTTTTGGGAAAATTATATTTTTTTATGGCACGTTTTGATATGTAATCTACCATCTTATAGTAAGACAACAAATATTATTTAACGATTTCAATCGGAAGATTCTGAATGACTTTATCACTTCACACACGACAATCTGGTATCCAGGATCTACCATTGAGAAATACGCTTCTTAGCAGCCAAGATGCCAAGACGGAAGCTCGCTCGTGAAACAAGTGCATCGCGTTTACCATTTCTTAATTGCGCGCCTTTGCAACGAGATACACGAGCCTCTCTGCCGTTACAAAATGCCGTCCCTCTAACCTTTCTCGCGTCTGGTTCCAGGTCAAGTGGACCTTTGGACACAAACGACGAACGGCTGCGCGTGCAGTTTTAATTCGTCCAGCAACGAATGCGCGTGCTGCGTGCCATCCGGAGGATGCAGCTGCGGGGCTGCGTCGCCGGACAGATGCGCTCAGTGCGGCCTGGAGCAATACTGCGCCAACAGTAAGTAGCGTTGTGCCTCATGATCATTAGTCTCAATATCTCTTTGCGTCCCGTCAAGAGACACGCGCGCTCATTTCGTAGATCTTTCATATGCTCGTGCTTCAAGACGAGGAGATTCGTTCGTCAGAAAAGGAAAAATTCCAGATTCCATTTAAATTTAGTATTTAATTACAAGCGAACTTAGTTCTCGTTGTGTCAATTAGCTGTTTTCAAGAAAAATTGAAGACGAGAGTGTCAAACTATCTTTTTTTTTTTATATGTAAGAATTGCAATCTGAATAGCTTTGTTTATTCGACATTGAAATGAAATTCAAGCTTGCTCAAATGGTACCAACTGGAAGTTAACAGCGTGAACAAGCTATAGTATGCAAATTAACGCTGGAACTACCGACGACTAAAGCATGAAATTTCCATCCAGAGACGTTAAAGTGAAAGAAACAGAAAATCTTTATAATACGATAGGGTACAATTTTACAAAGAGTCATCCACGTCTCCAAAAATACACTGTTTTACATCTATGAAATATCCACCAAAAATATTCAAATGGCCACTTTGACCATTTTCTATGATAGTGTTAATGCAGTGGTACAAGAACGAATTTATTTACTAACAGCGTTATATACAAGCTATATTATACAAATTAATGCAATGGCACAACACATTATAAAGAGTGAGAAACGAGAAATGACGGACGTCTACAGAACGGAGGAAACGTGATTTCCAGTAGGTATTCGCACGCGTTCTAAAACTGTGACATTCAATTAAATCACGTCGATATCAAATTCGTTAGAGGTGCAACCGGCAGCTCGCAATACCATCGCCTTCTGATCGTCAGATTCGCGTATATTTACTTCCTTTTCCCCCTTTCCCCCCCGTCGAGGCAGGAAGTAATTGCGTAACCGCTGTCCCTTTGAGTACGGATCGTCGTTAGAAACAAGATTTACGCCGTTAAGCCACTCTACGTTCCTCGTAGTCGTCGACATTTTGTAACCGGAGTTTCGACAGATTACGGAATTGACAGTGGTAGTGGCCAGTGTCTGGGAAACGATCGGAAAAAGCCTAGAGTCACAGAACTCGCGCTCCCTCGGGGATAGGGGAAATCCTTTTATAGCACGAGAAACGATCGGTAATTCCCCAAAGGCAGCGTGAACTAACGTTAAAGAAAATGTCAGGAACGTCGATAAAAAAAAAAAAAATAATAAAAAGAAGAAGGAGGAAGGACGAGAAAAGAAAAAGAAGTAGGATTTCTTTGGAATGTTTGCGAACGAGCTACCGGAAACCGTTTGGCAAAGTATAAATCCTGCCACTGAAATTAGTGTCCTGCATCCCGTGGCTTTTCCTTCTGGCAACTAATTACGTCAGTGGTTCTTTCTGCTCTCTTCGTCCATCTATCCCCTTTTTCCGTCTCCTCACGTTAATTACATCTGACGTTATTGCCCCGCACGTCCCATCCATCAAACCTTTCTTTCCTTTGAGCCTTGACTCTTCTACACACTGCCGAAACGCACAACCCCACCTTCGTCTTTTAATCATACCGCTGCCATTAATGGCGTCTTTGCTCCTTTCTGTTTCTATTTCCTTTCTTTTCGTTTTATCTTTCTTCGCCTCTCGTCGCCATCGTCGTCGTCGTCGTCGTCGGCGGCGGCGGCGGGTGCGTGTCGATTATTTTTCAAGCCGGCCTCGCGTTCTCGTAAAAGTCGATCGCTCGAGCACGGCCCGACGAGGCTAACGAGTTTCCGATTAATTGATTTATCGATCTATCGGTTTAAACATATTCTCATTAATTCGAAGGCCTGTTCGACGGACAAAGGCCTTGTACGGAACTTCCGACCTGGTATCGTTTATCGTTCGCAGTTCTCCGGGGATACTTTTCAGCCTGTGAAAGGTTATCGATGAGACATTCCGAAGCTTTCGTTTTTCTTCTTTTTTTTTTTTTTTTTTTTTTTTTTTCTTTTTAACGCGGACGTGCGAAGGGAGTTAATATAAAATGCAGCCAGGAAAATTTGAAATTTGACGTATCGAATTCCTGCGATTATTGTCAAACTGATTGCAGACTGAAGAAAATCTTCATTAACTTCTTAACACTAGAACTACCAAAATGGTCAAAATGACGAATTGATAATTTTTGTTAGATAATTTACAGATGATAAAACAGTGTATTTTTGGAGACTTAAGTGATTCTCTGTAAAACATATAAATAAAAGCTTGCGTACCATATCGTATTATAAAGATTTTCTCTTTCTTTTCTACTTTAATGCCTCTGATGGAAATTTTATGTAGTTCTAGTATTAATATTTCTGCACATCCCACGCTTGATAATTCGAATCCAATTTTACGGAGAAGCTTCTCTTGCCTTTTATTTCCTCTATACGACGCAGCCTCAAAGGCTTGATAAAAGAAATTCCTAGAATAATTTCGAAACTCGTTATACAGTCGTCTACAATATTGAAAAATACTCCAATACTTTTTTCGTACTTTGTAAATTCGCATCCAATTTTACGGGGAAAGTTGTACAACCCCCGTGAAATTATGACATTCCCTCTATCGGTAAATTTTCAGTCTCGTTTGAATCGAAATTGGAAAGTACAGATTTTCCATGCTGTTTGGCGACAGATAAATTAAGAATCGACTCTCAAACGGCGGTGGGAAGTTAGTCAGAGTGTCGCGTGTCAGTGTCGCGACTGTTCGTCGCCTCGAATGGAAAAGAGGAAGGTCCGTTTTGTCTCGGTGGCGTCGACGGAACGATGCAAGCAAGAAAAATCGTTATAAGTGATGCATCATTTTTCTTTCGCGCCGGTGCGGTGTTGCGCTTCCACGTGACCCGGATTCCACGTCGCCAGACAATGGCGAAATGTATCGCACGGGAAGATGCATCGAATAAATAATCCCCTGGTTTCGGGATTCGACGTTTTACCACGCTAGTGTCTTTTTTTCTCTCTCTTTCTCTCTTTCGCCTCCGCAAAAATTAGGTTCTGTCTTCCAACGAGCGGAACTTGTCAAACCGCGATACACGGTCAGTTATCGTCACAAAAAAATTTGACCAAGTTTGAAAGAATTACCCATAATAATGAAAATCAGACATTTGCAACAACTAATGTAGACTTTAAAAATTTTAATTTTTGACATCCTTGGAAGATATGGAAAATAACTTCACGTTTGTCATATGAACTTTGTTGGAAGATGAGAAAAAAAATTTTCCACCTTGAGATTGCCGGAGGAAGCTTGCTTTAGATACGAAGATACTCAGTGTTGGATGTAAGAAAACGATGACTGGGCGAAAGCTTGCAGAAATAGGGTGTGCCGGAATCATTTATTGGCTTGGACACAATGGCTGTATAGACAGCTGATACTGGAACGATGAAAGAGTATTTTTTTTCCCCTCGCGGAATGGAAAATGGGTTACGATATTACGACGCGATGAAAAAGATCCATCTCAAATGCAATACCGCGTCGTTACATGAAAATTCGTTCGTCAACCTGTGTCAAATGGATTCTCTGTGAAAAAAAAAAAAGAACAAAAACAGTTTAATTTCAAACGACGTGTCAATTTTACTCGCGTAAATTTATTTTACCTCCCTTGGTGTAAAATATTGCGTATTATAATTGCGTGGATCGCGGACCGTCTATTTGCATTCGTGGCTTTCTCAAAGCCGAAACAGAGAGTTAATCCGTTCCAGGAATACCCATTACGTTTTTGTTTCCACATTCATACATACAATTCGCAGTACAAACTGATCTTCAACCGTCTTATAAACAGACGAACGCTCGTTCGCTAAACGCGCATGAACTTGACCGAAGCAGAAACGTGTCAGTCGAGCAACATTTTCAAAACAGGTCGGACGTTCTCGTACGAGAGCGGAAAGTAACACAGTTTGGCGAGTCTTGCTCGTCCACGACGCAACGTACATTTAATTAACGTCGATCGGGGTGTGAAGGAATGCCTTCCGATCGTCCAAGTGCAACAGGTGTGTTCGAAATGAGTTTCTTCTTTCTCTTTCCTCTCTTTTCTCGTTCGCCACACGTAAGGAAGAGTAAAACGGGCGCGAAAAATCCAAAAGCAGGAGGCCAGAAGCTAGAACCGAATCCAATCGTCGGGCAGCTTCGCCCGAATTAGCCACAAATCAAATTAAACAGACGTAACAATCACGCACGGCTCTGGCATTTCGCTGGTCGAATGATAAATTGTCCACGTACGCACCACTCGCTAAATTGCGTGATAAAGCTTCGTTCGCAACGTTATTACGTGTAATCAGCAGTGGATTATGCATACGGCCGATAATATTGCCAGTCGATGCAGTCCATTAATATAGAAAATTAAATTCGATCGGGAACAGAATATAGTTGTAATTCGCTTGCCATTTTCAATGCTAGAAACGTTGCGTGTAATGAACTTTCTGAACGGTGATCCCTTTTCTCCTCCCACGAGCCCCCGCGGCCAATTTACCGATAACCATCCTCTGCCCCTTTGTTACAGTGTGCAACATCACGTTGGACAGCAGACAGTTGTTCAGCAAATCGGATCGCGGCTTCGGGCAGATAAAGTCGCCGTCTCTCGAAGGGCCGTCAAGGTGTACGTACAGGTTCGTGCCGGACACCGGGCAGCGAGTCGAGTTGCAGATTTACCGGCTGATCTCCATTGGACGGCACAACGGCACCGCGTAAGTAGCTTTCATACTATTTCGCCCCATTATCGACGATGGCCATTAAACGTGCGGTGTGCAACGTGTGCACCGTTATGCACAGATCGGGGGATATAAATTTTATCTTTCGCCGGGAGATCAAAGGGCGGACGTTCTTCCCTGGCACTATGGACCTCGATAATCGAGGCAAATTGAAATTCCAACGAACCAATATGTAGATTCGAATTTACGAGGTTTAGACGATTCGTGTTTTCACGAAGAACGAAAGTCCAGCGTTACCAGCTTCGTGTTACTGTTCCACGGGTATTTGCCCGAAACACCGGTTCATTATTGTCTTTGTGCCCTTTTTCTCAATCGAGTTTTCACAAGCTCAACAAGTTTCACCGTGTAATAAAATTCGCGCAAAACTCGCGCTGCATTTTACACGAAATGCTCGAAAAGGGGGATTGTTTTGCATCGCTCTTTGCTGATATTATTTTGTTTACCTCGCGTTCTCTTCTTCGCGTCTGCTTTATTGAAAGTTAACTGCTGTATCGGTCGCTTGAAATTTTCATGTACAATTGATGTACAATTAGTAGAAGATCGCCAAAAGGAATTAATTGTTGACAAGTCACAATTGGCGACGTCGCGTCTACACGGAAAAAGATAAAAAATCTTAAACTGTTAACTATATAAAAAATCTAAAACTACCGACAGAATCTTCTGTTCTTTCATTGAAAAGGGTGTCAATATACGAGTTGTCCATGACGCGAAATGCAAACTTAACTGGACGCTATCCGCAGAAAGGAACGCTCGAGACAACAAGAAAGAAAGGTCCCGTTTCCGGCGTGTATTCGCTTAACGAGAAAACTCGGGAACAACGAAAGAACAACGTTGCAACAATATTTGCCGACGATGCTCGCGTTGATAATTGTCTCGTTAATGTAAAGCTGTAGGGAACGATGGAACGACCCACGGGGGCACAGTTGAAAGCATTTCAACTCACATTGATCCGGCCTTTCAGCATTAATCAAAAATGCTTTTAATCACTTCGGGCAGGCGCATCGCTCTCGGTGCTTTTAATTAAATTAACATGCTGCACGTTGGTACTCGGACGCACGCGCGAACGTTCTGCTTGAAATATATACATGTATACATATATGCATACGTGAATATTTTGCCGGTACTGAAAATTGTTATTGCAATAAATCTTGTTCCGCGGTATTCGTTGCATTCGGGCACGAATTTCATGCAGGGAACAATTCATTTCTCGTTACACGTGTCACTTGACGCGAAATCTGTAATAACACAGACGCGAAAAAGCGGTCAACGACGCGCGACGTTGTTCAAGCTTCATTATTTCGAGTATGCCAGCCACTTACAACGGATTAACAAGAGAGTGTTAATTGTAAAATTAGTGGCAAACGCTAACGTCACCATTTGTACGAGGGGAGGAGTTGTTTGCTCTTCATTCATCCTGTTTTTACAGCGCGATTGACGTTTTTTTACTGTTTGACGTTGTTTGACAAACGATCAATTTATAATTTTCCCACGAGAATTCTTACATGTATTTTTAGAGGCTCGAATGATTCTTAAAAAGTAAAACGTATAGTATGAGTTTGTTGTATTAATTTATAATATATTGTATTTATTATAAATTTTTTCTTCTCTACTTTAATTCTCTCATTGCGAATTTAGGTGGTTCCAGTGTTAAAAAATAGACTATCAGTATTTGGGAAACACTGATAATCTCGTTTGATTTCTCACTATGTTGTAACGTTTCTTGAAAGGAAGGGGAAATATTAATTTTCAAGCGAGTTTCTAAGATAGAAATTTGTACACGGTAATAGTTTCATTTAATATCAGAATTTCTCTCGTGATCCCAGGTTCTCAAATGTAACGCAACATATTATAAATTTCGTGCAACGTTCACACTTCAAATCTATCTACAAGCTAATCGTCTACATTTCCAATACTTTGTCCTGCCACTTGAGGATTCAACAATTCGATCTCGACTCGGAGAATGTCGAATCGGTCGTTCAGATATAGTGTCTCTTTAAAGTCAAAGTATACGGATACGGCGCGATCGTGGAAAGAGGAATCGAGGGAGGATGGGCTTCCCAGTGGCCGATATGATTGGAGATCGCTCGTGTCGATGGTCGTTTCAATTTGTCATACTTCCGTTCTAACGGCGACTACCATCGCCGCCACACTTAAATTCCTCTTCGACCGTGTATAGACGGAGCAACACGAGCCTGGAGAGCCGGCCGAACGGTCTCGAAAGAAAAATTACCGTTTCTCGGAAAGCGTCTTTCCCTCTCGCTCCCCGCCAAGGGATATATAACGAAGAAAGTTCGCGCAGCCGAGGAAAAGAGGCCTTCGACAAGCTTCGCGAAAGTTCTTACAATTTTACGAGACCCAGACTCATCCTCTCGGAGGACGCCACGCTCTTTTCTTCCCTCGCTGTCTAAGTGGAGCTTAGGACGCGAATGCACGTCGCGTCCGAGGAACGCTTACCCTCGAACCGGTTTCCGTTCGTCAGCGTTCGACAGCGTTAGCATAGCAACGGAGAATCGAAATATATAAATCTCGGACGTTCGTTTTGTAATTGCTGTCACAGTCGATCAGTCGATTTCGAAGATTAAGCCGGACGAAAGTAATATAATTGAAAATGTTGGAGATAGTTTAACTCTTAGGTATCTTTGAACAATTTTGGAATTTTTAATTTAATTTCAGTTTGTTGTCAGATTGAAACATTTTTCTGACAATTTATATAAAAATAAAATAAATAAATCTGACGATTTCTGTGGACACGTTTTTTTTCGTAGTTTTCGTTATAATTGCTCTCGCAGTTAGTCGATCTCGAAAATTGAGCCGAGGCTTGAAAATAATTGTGAAATATTTTCAAGCCTCGGAAATATTTCAACCCTTATTTCAACCCTATCATTGAACAACGACTTATATCGTCTTTGTTTTATCGGACGCGCAATTTTGGAATTTTTAATTTAATTTCAGTTTGTCGTCAGATTGAAACATCTTTCTGACAATTTATGGATTTTTTGGGACACGTTTTTTTTTGTAGTTTTCATTATGATTGCTCTCACAGTTAGTCGACCTCGAAAATTGAGCCGAGGCTTAAAAATAATTGTGAAATGGAAATATTTCAATTCTTAAGTATCATTGAACAACGACTTATATCGTCTTTGTTTTATCGGACGGGCAATTTTTGAATTTTTAATTTAATTCAAATTACTATGCAAATTTTTGCTGCAAATTTATAGACTTTTGTGAACACGTCTAGAGGAATAAAACCTGAGTGAAAATTCGGTTTTTCCTAATTTGGTAATATTTTCTATCTATAAAAATATTTAAATTATTTGTACGAAAGAACTATAATTTATAAATTATTTATATATTAATAAATATTTATAAATTATTTTGACATATTAGTGTTTTAAATTTAGAATTTAAATAAAATTATATAAATTATAATAAATAATAATTTTAATTATAAATTATATGACATTAATATTAATAGTAATATTAAGAGTTGCATTTTTAACTTTAGTTGAACGAAAAATTTTAAGTTATATACAAAATCGAAAAGGTCTTGATAAATTATTATTTAAAGGTCTATTTCAACTTTTTAGTTATATATTAAGATTAATTTTTAAAGAAATATTTTATTTAAGATTAAACAAAATATTTTATTATAGACCAATATTAATATTTTTTGTATCGTCAATATTATGATTAATTTTACGTGGTTTTGCGCATTATACGATTTGCGGATTTTTGCGCTTTTGAACTTCGCCGTCTGTTTATTATCAATCTGTTTCAAGGGAGATGCGAAACAAAATTTTAATGCTTTCAATGTTTGAAATAATATTCCTCTCTCTTTCTCTCTCTGCGGTACATGTATATTTGAATTTCATTTTCCTGTTTGAACATTTCCGAAGTTAACCCGGCCGTGACGGTTGCGTTCCCGCGTCTCTGTAGACATCGTGTTTGTAGTTTTATAATTATATTCACGTTATGTAAAGAAGTTTACTCGGGGAGTGGGGAGGGAAAAGTATCGCGGCAACGATATCCCGTATTCTTCATTTTTCCCGCGGCGCTTCGCAGTCCCTCGTTGCTTGCGCTTCGTTCGAGAATTCATACGACGAGGTATTTTTCCGTGGGGGGAAGAAAAATCACGTTTTCCTAACAAAGGGCGAATATATAGAGCTGGGGCAAACGAACCCGTGCCTCGGTCAGGAAGAAAGAAAGGCAGGAATGATCGTTCGTACAAGACGGCGTCCGCAATAATTCTAGATAAACTCGATAAGCCGCGAGAATACGCATTATGGCTTTTCGATACTCTCCCTCTCCACTCGTAAATAATTTAAATCTGACGTTGATCGTGCTCTGAACGTGTGTCACGATCGAGTTACCCGTTTAATTCATTCCACGGGTTTCCTTTGTCTTTCGATGATAATCTCGAGACAGAAATTAGCGAATCGTTTGATAAATCATAAATAGAGAAGCTGGAAATGTCGGGAATCCCAATGGTCGGGTTGGAACGGGCTCCGAAAGTATCTCAGAATTCGAGAATCTCAAGACTCTCGGGAATTCCCCGGATTCTCGAGAGAGTCGGTACTCTGGAGATTTTTGGGATTCTTGAAGAATTATAAAATGACAAAGGGTAGAACGCGGAAGGGAAATGATAACTATATACGCGATAAATGCAATATTTTCGCGTGGAACGAAACTGTTTTTCAACATTCTCTGACAACAATCTCGTTCCGTTTTCCGTCACAATGTTACCAGCTGTGAAGAACAGAAGCTTTCGTTGAACAAAAGAAAAGTTAGTACCAGGGAAATTTTCAAAACTATTTGCAACATGTCCATAAATTAATATAAAAAATATAGTTTAATATAAATTATTTTATTTATTATTTTATACTTAGTACAAAGTATTATATAAATTATTATTAATATAAAAACTCCTGTTTTTCAGTTTTTCCTTTCCTTGAGAGAAATATAACGAAATCGACAAT